GACCGTGACACAAAACAGTTGGAACACAAATAAGATGACAATACGACAAAAACTGCTCTCAATACAGACTAAAAAAACGATTTTAGTATTTTTTTTTTTAAATAAAAAAAATGGATTTGGAAAGCGACGCCACAAAATAAATGATTAACATATGAACAGGTAACCATATGTGGGACGGCGTGGTCGGGCCGTAGTTCGCTTGCTGCTAACCCGAAAGTCTGGGGTTCGGATCCCGGACTCGAGTTTGTAGGTCCTACCTTGTGTATTTAAATTCCCTTTCCGCTTATGTGCCTACCCTGGGTCACACTAACAGATCATACACCATATGCAACTGTAATTTAGAGGGTTATACCAAGCATAACTAGTCAAGACGTTCTAGTTAGCTCCTACATTTGTTTTAGCTAAAAACATTGAGAACTTTGGATAGCACATTAACATAAAATTTACATATGTCTAGATGATTAATATATTAATATCGGTGCCGTGTATTCAGGGGAAATCACTCTAAATGGACACTGGTTAAAGTATATATATATATATATACATATATATATATATATATATATATATATATATATATATATATATATATATATATATATATATATATATATATATATATATATATATATATATATATATATATATATATTTATTTATTTATTTATTTATTTATTTATTTATTTATATAAATTCTATTTCGTTCGGGATGGAGGGGTGGGGGGGCGGGTAAACGTTTTTTGGGGGTGCCTCAAGCCCCGAAAGAATGTCTGCAAGAAACTCTGAATAGGACCCGTGTACTAATAGTGATTGTGAGTCATATGACCAGTGTTTCTTCCAGACTTTTTTCTCCGGCGGGGGGGGGGGGGGGGGGCACTTGAAATTTTCGGGGGGGGGGGGGGGCGGTAGACTTTCTTCGGGGGGGCGGACACTGTTAAAACTATATTTTTTCTATATAAATTATATAAATTTCATTTCGTTCGGGCGGGCGGTAAAAAATTTTCGGGGGGGGGGGGGGGGCCTTACCCCCCCCCCCCACCCCCCGAAGAGATGCCTGGAAGAAACTCTGCATATGACCCGTGTTGCCGTGTTCTCTATATGGTACGGTTATATGTTATATGTCTATAAGAAAATATCGCGTTTATTTATTTGAACTAAATATCATAATATGTCATCTCAATAAAAATAAATGTCATATTCTGTCATAGCATGTCATCAAAATGTCGTAAATGTCATTGTTTGTGTTAATTAGTTCAGCTGACACATTTACATAGACGCTTACACGTGTAATGTGTCAATCGATTAGCCGTACCCACGTATGTGCCCGGTAAAGTCCAGAATAATGTTGTAACCTTTAGTTCGTGTTGTGGTCAAATGTGTGATTATTACCGGACAAACTGATCAGGTTAACGTTTATGTATAGGGTTGGGCTGTTTTTATTATTGACTACACGTTTTATTAACAGATCAGAGAAACTACATTGTTAAATTATTATATTTGTGTGTCTGAGTGTGTGTGTTAGTGGTTCTTAAGTTTTTTCCTTTGATTGGTTCTAATGTTATTGCTTTCTCGTTTTTTCCATTGATTGGTTCTAATGTTATTACATTCGGATCTCTTAAGTTATAACTGTGACTGGTTCTAAAATTATTACATCTGTTTTCTTATAGCTGTGATTGGTTCTAGTGTTATTACATTCGGATCTCTTAAGTTATAACTGTGACTGGTTCTAAAATTATTACATCTGTTTTCTTATAGCTGTGATTGGTTCTAGTTTTATTACATTCGGATCTCTTAAGTTATAACTGTGACTGGTTCTAAAATTATTACATCTGTTTTCTTATAGCTGTGATTGGTTCTAGTTTTATTACATTCGGATCTCTTAAGTTATAACTGTGACTGGTTCTAAAATTATTACATCTGTTTTCTTATAGCTGTGATTGGTTCTAGTGTTATTACATTCGGATCTCTTAAGTTATAACTGTGACTGGTTCTAAAATTATTACATCTGTTTTCTTATAGCTGTGATTGGTTCTAGTGTTATTACATTCGGATCTCTTAAGTTATAACTGTGACTGGTTCTAAAATTATTACATCTGTTTTCTTATAGCTGTGATTGGTTCTAGTGTTATTACATTCGGATCTCTTAAGTTATAACTGTGACTGGTTCTAAAATTATTACATCTGTTTTCTTATAGCTGTGATTGGTTCTAGTGTTATTACATTCGGATCTCTTAAGTTATAACTGTGACTGGTTCTAAAATTATTACATCTGTTTTCTTATAGCTGTGATTGGTTCTAGTGTTATTACATTCGGATCTCTTAAGTTATAACTGTGACTGGTTCTAAAATTATTACATCTGTTTTCTTATAGCTGTGATTGGTTCTAGTGTTATTACATTCGGATCTCTTAAGTTATAACTGTGACTGGTTCTAAAATTATTACATCTGTTTTCTTATAGCTGTGATTGGTTCTAGTGTTATTGAAATCAGATTTCCTGAGTCCTGATGTTTCAATTCAGTGGTTCCATTTATTTTTATTTTATTTTTTTTTTGTCTATTTTGTTCTTTCCAGGTCTGACAATTGTGTACACATGTTTTCTAAAACTTTCGGTTCTTCATCTCGAAGTATTTCAGCCCTTATTTACACACTTCTTTTTAGCCCTCATTTACAACATTCCTTCCAGGTGGAAAGGTTAGTGTGCAACTTGTATTTTGTGTGCGCGGTGTTCTAAAAGTCTTTATACAAGGATATATACATTTTACAAAATGACTGCGCGGCAGCTCAAAACTACTATGCGGCCGCGCAACAGCGCAGCTGTGGGAACATTGCTCATTTATCCACTATTTCGGCCCTTATCTGCCCACTATTTCGGCCCTTATCTGCCCACTATTTCGGCCCTTATCTGCCCACTATTTCGGCCCTTATCTGCCCACTATTTCGGCCCTTATCTGCCCACTATTTCGGCCCTTATCTGCCCACTATTTCGGCCCTTATCTGCCCACTATTTCGGCCCTTATCTGCCCACTATTTCGGCCCTTATCTGCCCACTATTTCGGCCCTTATCTGCCCACTATTTCGGCCCTTATCTGCCCACTATTTCGGCCCTTATCTGCCCACTATTTCGGCCCTTATCTGCCCACTATTTCGGCCCTTATCTGCCCACTATTTCGGCCCTTATCTGCCCACTATTTCGGCCCTTATCTGCCCACTATTTCGGCCCTTATCTGCCCACTATTTCGGCCCTTATCTTCCCACTATTTCGGCCCTCTTCGGCCCAATATTTCGGCCCTTATCTGCCCACTATTTCGGCCCTTATCTGCCCACTATTTTGGCCCTTATCTGCCCACTATTTCGGCCCTCATCGGCCCACTATTTCGGCCCTCATCAGCCCAATATTTCGGCCCTTATCTGCCCACTATTTCGGCCCTCATCGGCCCAATATTTTGGCCCTCGTAGATCCACTATTTCGGCCCTTATCTGCCCACTATTTCGGCCCTTATCTGCCCACTATTTCGGCCCTTATCTGCCCACTATTTCGGCCCTCATCGGCCCAATATTTCGGCCCTCATCAGCCCAATATTTCGGCCCTTATCTGCCCACTATTTCGGCCCTCATCAGCCCAATATTTCGGCCCTTATCTGCCCACTATTTCGGCCCTCATCGGCCCAATATTTTGGCCCTCGTAGATCCACTATTTCGGCCCTTATCTGCCCACTATTTCGGCCCTCATCTGCCCAATATTTCGGCCCTCATCACCCCACTATTTCGGCCCTCATCACCCCACTATTTCGGCCCTCATCACCCCACTATTTCGGCCCTCATCACCCCACTATTTCGGCCCTCATCACCCCACTATTTCGGCCCTCATCACCCTACTATTTCGGCCCTCATCACCCCACTATTTCAGCCCTCATCAGCCCAATATTTCGGCCCTCATCAGCCCAATATTTCGGCCCTTATCTGCCCACTATTTCGGCCCTCATCGGCCCAATATTTTGGCCCTCGTAGATCCACTATTTCGGCCCTTATCTGCCCACTATTTCGGCCCTCATCTGCCCAATATTTCGGCCCTCATTTACCCACTATCGGCCCAATATTCGGGCCGTCCATGTCCTTCTAAGTCTTTCCTCTTGTGACAATGGTTAGAGTATTGTTGAATGTAAACACAGTTGTTTATTTTATCCTCTACCGAGAACACGGACTAGTGTGCTGTATAGCCGCTGTTTGGCTACTCAAAGCCCCGCGTCGATTTTTTAACATGTGTTATTCTAAAGGTTAGGCTAAGGGTTAAGGCAGGGGGAGTAGAGCCCGGCTTAAAACTTGAGACGGATATTTCGTCCGGCCGTGCCGCGGCCATTTGAGCCGAAAAACAAATACCGGGTTTCGATCTCGAAAACCAGCCGCCTCTCCTGACCAGTAGAGCAGTCCAAGCGACAAACTGCTTCCGTTTGACATGCGCACTGGGCTTGTGTTTGGAGAAACGCGAGATTACCTCCCCTGTCCATCGCTACGCCACGCCTTCAAATAAATCCTTCGCGAATTATTTTTTTTCGTTTTCACTTTGTTTCGTTTTAATGTTGAAGTTTTATGACTACGTTTTTAAACCTGTTGTCTTATTTTATGCTAAATTTATATTTAAAGACCTAACTCGGGTCTTTTATTACGTTTCTGTAATTAGTTTAATAAGGAATTTAAGACAAATATTTAACAATGAAAAAAATATCAGAATATTGACAGGGAGAAAACCCCGCCTCAGAATCCTGGCCTCACGCTGATCAGGTCCTGACGTCTGTTAGATCGTCTGCCAACCGCCTTCCATTTTTACACCGCGTCCGGCCATTGCACGATCGACCAACCGTCCTCGGGTGGGCGTGGCCTGGCCGCGGGCACGTTCAATCTCCGCGCGCGTGACGACAGAGCGGGGCGGGTAAAACCGCCGCCCCCCTCCCCGCCGTTGTGAACACGGCCCCGCGATATTTGACGACAGTAGAGTCCGGGTCTGGTTGTCTGGCTGGGATGTGAAACGTGTAGTGGTTGGCGTCCGATCAAACCTCCACCACACCGACTAGTCAAAAACGTGTTTCACCCACAGCAAACATTCGCTGTAAAACTCTGGATTTATTTTTTCTTGGACTATCTGCAGGTTATGGAATAATATTCTAAAAGGTGGGACTGAACATTTTCAAATATATTTTTTTTTTACATTTTTTTCTTTAAGTTTAAATAAATATTTTTATTTTAATTTCTTTTTGCTAGTATTTCACAGTGTTTATTTTATAAAACTAAAAAAAAAAACCCACAAAAATAGGCCTAATTAAAAAAAACAAAAACAACGAATTAATTAAGTTACCATAACAGAGTTCTGTTTACACGAATAGGTTCCTAAAATAGTAACAGTTTATGTTTAGCCCGTATGCGTGCACATACACGCACCGGTTTGTCGCTGGGGGTAGTCGAACCCCCGACCACGGTTGATTGGCCAAGCACTGATGGTTCCATGTACGTCTGGTGAATGAAAGGCGCTGTCGATATCTAACGGTGCGACAGATCAACAAATTGTGTTGGTGAGGTTCAGTCGGGCGGACCCACGTCTTCACCACATATGTAGGGGGGGGGGGGCGTCTGATAAGTACAGTCGTTCAATGGAGCGTAGGACCAAACCTATGTTTCAACGGTGTTTGTTTATTTCCTTGTAAAATTTATTGTATACGATCTGGTCTAAATTCTGTGAGGAGGGTGTGGTACTTGTGTTGTGGTAGTTGTATTGTTAGTGGTATTGTGGTTGTATTCTTAGTGGTATTGTGTTTGTAACACTATGGTAGTAGCACTGGAATAGTGGCACTGTATTCGTGGCTCTATGCTAGTAGCACTCTAATACTGCTATCTTATTGGCATTAGGGTAGTGGCACTATAGTAGTGGAACTGTGTTAGTGGCTCTATGGAAGTAGCACTGTGTTAGTGGCACTATCATACTTCCATAGAATAAGGAGCCAAGACGGAGCGCATCTTGCAAGAAGTGAGTACCACAGGCTGATGTGCCAGCCGAAGTTAGAGTCGTCTCATGGCTCTGCTTCGGCCCTTAGAGCCACTTTATAGCGACTCTAAGAGCCCTTCATAAACCAACCATCTATATCAAAAGCTCTTCAGATTGTCATGGCCCACCCAGCAGGTCACCACTAGAGTAGGTGTCACCACCTGAGTATGTGTCACCACTAGAGTCGGTGTCACCACTAGAGTCGGTGTCACCACCTGAGTATGTGTCACCACTAGAGTCGGTGTCACCACCATGAGCCTACCTGCACCCAGGCTTTAGACGCTCACCTCAGCCTACCATAACTTTCTGTATCACCACCAATATTTAAACACCGGCTAACTTAGGATAACCGTGTATTTTGTGATAGTGTTAACAAGTTCAGATAAACATTTATTTCGAGGTTAATTTAACCAAGTTATAGCCAAATTAAGGGTTTGCCTTCTAGCCTTAATAACCGTATAACCGGTGCTAAGTAAACCACGCACTTTGTGGTTAAGTTAGTTCGTTAATTCAGTGGCGAAGTGTACAGTTGATGTAGTAGCTAAGCAAGTTATTTACCTAGCAGTTAGAAACAAAATGAAAAAGTTCCTGTCTTCTGTTGAAGTAGAGTCAACCACCCGTGACGCAACACACCAAGACGCGTTCACACACACACACCCACACACACCTACACACACTATGTACACAGTCTCGCTTGAGTGGCCAGTGAGAAATGAATATATTACACAGCCCAGGGCAATGGTTAAAAACAACCTTAGGGTGTGAAAACTTCGGTTGCCAATCATCAACGTTTTAACACATGTGCTGATATCACACCAGCACACGGAGGGCTGTGTGTGTTGTAGGTCAACACGGCATCTGTGTGACCGACACCGTCAAAACATGTATCATGCATGCGTGTCCATTAAAACATGTATTATGCATGCGTGTCCATTAAAACAAGTAACAGTTAAATAATTGACTAACACAGGAACCTACTTCAGTAAAAAAAAAAAAGACTTATCCTTTAAAAAAATTGGCGATCAAATTATAGCAAAAAGTATTATAAAATAAAACAAAAAATTATTCTTTTGTTACATTAACCAAACATGAATTTCATGACTGTTTTGACTAGCGCTAGTCCGACATTTTCATCCTACATTTTCATCCCACCCAAATATAAAATTGGACTACATCAACATCTTTCGTAGTTTAAAATTGTTTGACAATGGTTTTAAGTCATGGTCAGCATGTAGATAATTAATTAATGATAAGAGAATATGATTAACTAGCGATGCTGTCACTAATTAATGCTTCACAAAATGCTAGAGTTATTGTACACAAGCTAAAACGTTTGAATGTACTAGCAAGTCTGCAAGTAGTTATTTCCTAGTTTATCTTCTAAACAGTCTTGATTAAATATTGCGAATGTGGGATGAGTGATGACGGTTAATTAATTAATTATCGTTTATCGCAGTTTTATCGATGCGATGATAGGGGCGTGGTCAAGCGGTGTTTGATATGATGTTCGTGATGTTGTGTTTAGATGATGGTCGTGATGTTTTGTTTAAACGATGTGAGTGATGTTGTGTTTAAATGATGTGTGTGATGTTGAGTTCGCAGCCCGCGGCGTGATGTGTGGTTTGACATCTTTGAATGAACTAAATTTAAGATGTACACATATTTGAAACACCACCGAAATTTATAATGTAGTTTTACACATTTCTAACTGATAAAATAATAAATTTCTAACACAGCGAACAAAAGTTATGTTATACACATTTCTAATCCACGAGAAGAAATTTATGATATAGATCTAGAAGTTTCTTAGAAAAACAAATTTTATTTTATCCGCGATTTGATGTTACGGTGACATCCCATTCAGTAAGTGTATACGTGTATGGCTGTTGTGTCTTACACAAAGCTGTCTAGGCTGTTCCGCTAGTTAAAATACTGTATCGGCTGTCCGCTGTGCGAAATGCTGTTATGTTGAGTGAGTGAGTGATACATGTTCAAGTACTGTAGCTCATCTTACTTTAACTCCATCCTTTACGTCGTTGAATTTCCCTGTATATATGATAAGTTCACTTGAAATTTCAGTTCAAATATTACACTTTTAAAAAAATGCTTCTACCTACGGTATCCGTCAGACTCTCGAATATCCTGGAGTTATGTTTTCTTTCGTTAAAACTGAATTTATATATATTTTTTTAAATATATTAATTATACATCGGGCTATAACATATTTAATATATGGGCTATAATGAACTGTATATTTCAGTAAATTCTATTTGCTATCCCGTATGATTCCATGTTTTTAAAAACTACCATTCTTACACAAATGCACGTGTAAGCACTACATCGAATACTTATAGCCAACAGCTTTCATTACATTCACAAACAACCGCATCACCGATACGCCAATTAACCCAGATTTGTAATTAATGCTAATTAATCACCAGTCTGTCAATTTTCCATTGTAGTTAATTGCATAAACATTTCAAATACATGTGTGTAAGCAGGTAATTATTAAGTAAACGACCTGTTAAGTATTGTTCAAGTTAATCTAATTTTACAGTTCATTAAATCATGGATTCAGTAAGAATCGGTGAGATGGTGGATTAAAGAATTGGTGAGATGTTGGATTAAGATTAAAAGGTTAGATTTAAACGCTTCTGTGATTCACACACGTGAGCAACTGCGTTTGTATGTAGGTGGGTGTGTGTTGGCCTATGTGTGTGGATTGGCTTATGTGTGCGTGTATGTAGGCCTATGTGTGTATGTGAGGCATGGAGTGTCTAATGCGTCTGATTTTTGTGATTAGTGTGGGTCCGTGTGTAGTGTATGCTAGTGCGTGTTGTGTGTATGTGTATGTATGTGTGTCTTTGAGTAGAAAACTATTAGATCATAGTAATGTCCAAAAAATAAACCCAAAGTTTGAAGTCATACCCACATTTCCAAATGGTCAACTAATGAGTTAAAAGAATCGAGTCTGATACTTGATAATTCCTCACTATGTTTAAAGTAACCGTTATTAATTACTTAATTACACAAGCGGAGCACGGATTCCATTTTTTAAATTAAGAAATTAATTTCCAAGGCTCAGTAATTTTGTTAACAGTGTTTGGTTAGAGGGATACAAAACAATGATGTCTTTAGCGAAGGTTTTACACACACAATATATTTTACAATGCATACGTATTTAAATAAAAATCATTCCCAATCAATCTATCGACAACTTTAAACACAACACATTAAAGCTGTAACCAGTTGAACTAAATCAGCACATTAAATGTACGCAACACATGAGATTAAACACACGGGACATTTCATGACTCCACACACAATTAAACACAATTAAACACTGTGCTAACTGCCTATCATTTTACCCGCACTACCAGTATATACGGCATACGCTTTATGAACCATAGCAAACATTCAAAGCTTTTTTAAATAAAGAGCACAATACTAATTTACCATATAACATAATTTTAATTTACTTCAACCGATTATTTTAATTCACCATTTTTTTTTTAAATATTAATTTACCATATCACACTATTTTTATTTACCATAAAAAATAATTAAAAAGACCCACCTTTTTAAAACTTTTTCAAATAAATCAATCCTATCAACTTTAATGTCCTAAATTGTACTAGCGTCAATGTAGTTTTTCTTAAAATATTGAAAGAATTCCAACCGTTATAGCGTAAAATTGTCACCTGTAGGCCCTAATTTTATTTCACTGTGTTAAACCAAGTCTACATTTATTATCCGCAAACAATTATTAAAAAAAAAATTGTAATTAAGTCAAGTATCAGCTAAGCCTGGAGTTTCAACATACGACCCATGATCTGCACACCCCCGCCCACCCCCTCTCCCCCACGGTGCCACACCGATAGGCACATGCTGTGAACTTAATTGTGCGTACATGCGAAATGTGCACATACGGCGCACACAAAAAATCGGTACCCCCACACCTAGGTGAAATCCCCAGCCCACTCGGCCTATTGTGTCTGATCTTCCAGAACCTTCTGTGGATCATTCTGAACATTCAAACAGTCCCAGACACCAGCCCGGTAAGAAAGGGTTAAACCTGTTTTTACACAGGACAGAGATGTCGTCTGGTTCTTGCATTCAACCCATACAATTA